GCGGTCAGTGATAACGCTAGGCCGCACATGGCTCGACGGACAGCAAGTCTCCTGCAGGAGTTCAGCTGGGAGGTGTTTAATCATTCACCCTACAGCCCGGACCTCGCTCCCAGTGATTTCCATCTTTTCCTACACCTCAAGAAATTCCTGTCCGGTCAGCGTCAGCGTTTTGAGAATGAAAGAGAGGCGGAGATGGTTGTCACACAGTGGTTCCAATCCCAGGCGGCAGACTTCTACGACACAGGTATTCAAAAGTTGGTCCCACGGTATGACAAATGTCTCAAATCCGGTGGCGAATATGTTGAAAAATAGCTAGACACTTGCTGTATCTGTTGCAATAAATATTTACATGAAATTGTGAATCGTTAATTGTTTTATAAGATTACTTGTTATAATTGGCCAAAGGGAATAATTAGATAATTAAATAAGGAGGGTTAACAAGAGATTAAATGTATCCTTGGTACTCTGAGCAACTTATACTTGGATTCAGTCTAGTTCGAAGAAGGGGGGGAGGTGAAGATTTTCTGGGGTGTCGTGTTTCTTAGTGTTCAAGTGCCCTAAGAAGATAAAAGCTTTCAAGAATTCTTCTCCCTTGTTATTCAAGGCATCGTGAATCTTAACATAAATGACACTGTCATGGATACGGAATCGTTCCGACTAGGTGTACCAAGTTCCTTTTTTCTATTATACATGTTCTTTCACAACACACTGCTTTTTTAGAAAATTTTATTTTTATTTAGATTTATCAGTTTGTTTTATTACTCTAAAATCTAGGCTTTGACAGTGTTAGGTTTCTGATTTATGAACTGGTTGGTGGATTTGTGGTATAATTTAACATTAATTTAATTAATTAAAAGAATAATGCTTAATGTTTATTAATATTAAACAATAATAAATATTCTTAAAATTATTTGTTGTCAGGACTTTTTCCATCGTCTGTTTTTTTTTAAAAAAAATTCACGACGTTTAAGTGTAAACTACCGTCGTCAGAATCCTTTAGAATTTAATAATAAGTATTATTTATTTAAGATGCTATTTTACAGAGATTTTCATGTGTTGACGAAATTTGGGATTTGTGTGGAATATGAAAAAGTTATTTAACGATAATATTGAAGAATATAACAAAATCCCACTGAAACTCAGTTTGTGACATATGGTGCCAACATAATAAATTATTACCATGCGCAGGTTTTGCTTTGGTACCCCTTACTGTTGCTTTAGATGCTGATTAGATTGGACTTGAATTAGATTTGGGCACGCTACAAGTTGTCAATCAATGGCTGCATAGTTGCTACTGTCTTTCCACTCCCTCCTGAGTGGACAATCGAAACACTAACTCTGGTTCCATGCAAAAGTTACGTATGTATCATTTGATTTGTTTTATACAAAACTACTGCCAGTTGTACTGTAGCAAAATCCAATCTGCTGTCATATTGTGTCATATATCTTTAAAGATCTATGTCTTTTCCTTTCGAGTTGATAGATCGACATCCAAAATGATATCAAAAGAATATGTCGATTTATTATTCCGGAGCCAAGCACCAGAAGATTCTACGATAATAAATAATTTAGTGAAGATATTAACCCTTTAAATCGCAGTGGTAATTACATGTACCACCTGTCGTAACGATTAATAGCTCTGTCTCATGTCCACAGAGTGTGTTTGTACGTTTACTGTGTCCCAGAGTAAACAGCATTTATCTCCATAAACAGCATTAAAGGTGACTCGTTGTGTTTTCTTTGCGGTACGGACTGAATATTGAAATATTAGAAACACGATCTTCGGATTCAGAAGCCCACCACCCTCACCAAAGTTAACTCCAAAATTCAAATCGTGCTTAAATATCAATCAACTCGATTATTGTAATATAATGACTGTACTTTGGACGAGTTTATGTAAACATAAAGCCTGTTTAATCATTATTTCAGTCACATGTGAATACCCAACATGTTCTTATTGGCCGACAATAAAACGTATCGTAATTGATTTGCAAAAGAAGAAACAGTGTGCCTATATTTTTTTTCCAAAAGGACAAAATATTGTTTCAACGAAATCCTGCTACAATCTACACGATAATAATATGCGGTACTGAATCATTCATGCAGTCACGTGTTTAAACATGACCCGCAATTTCTGCCTCCTGTCGATCAAATAGGTCAGTCAGTCTGAGTCTTTCCGAATGTATAAACGATTTCCATCAATACCCTTGCAGTAGACAGTGTTTAGAATGTCATGTGGCAGGATATTTATGGATGATATCCTCGTATTATGCTAGAGAAACTGAGAAAAACCACGGACGCCATTTGTTAAGAAAAAATGTCCCAGATAAATATTCGCCCCAGGAATGGAATGAGGCTTAAGATTACTGATCTTAGGGTATCAGCTTTATCGTAAAGACAAATATAGATTTAGTGTCTTCAAACACGTCATTCCAGATTATTTTATCATTAAAATTACATTCCACTGGGATTAATTCAAATATTAATGCATTCCTCATCTACTTTGTGAAAACAATAAACAGTGGAATGGTTACAAATTCTGTTATAGACTTACACTGTCCTTTTCACTTAATTCTAAGTCTGCTGTCAGTGATGACTTATTTTAAATTGAAACATATTTCATGTCGTTTAACATACGAAAAAATTAAGACAACTTCGTGGGGGACACGAAATGTCTGTTGGGAACGTAGATTCAGCCCTTAGAAAAAAAAAGCTCGTCTAAATAATATCTAAGAATTAAGTCAATACCTCAAATCTCAACACTTCACCACCACAACAGTTAGTATGCGAATGCTATGTAAGGAAATAATATCTGTTTACACCGTGAGTCATACAAGAGTCATAAATACAAAATACACAGTTGCTGACTTAAACCGTAGATGGCACATAGATTCCACTGGGTTTAAAGGGTTTACGTTTAGGGTATATACCTACTACAAGAATAAAATTTCTGTAAAGGAATTACCTCCTCCTGTTAAGCATAAATTGTTATATTTTTTGCTTCAGATTTAATATAATAGTCGCTTAAAATATCCTAACATTTAAAAAATATGGGCTGCTATAGTATTTCAGTGTCCCTTACGTCGTTAATTCATTGACGTATCAACCAACTGAAACCACACATCTAGAATTTCTGAATGGGCCCCTATTATAAGGGAGTGAATTCCAAATATTCCCTCATCTATATGTTATACAGGGGGTTGTAATGTAGGGTGACATCTGCCCGCAGTTTAGGGATGTGTAGAATTTGATACTGGGGGTGAGGTGGTTGGTTCACACTATGATTTGGTGGGAAGGAACAGAAGATCAACATGGTGGCCATTTCCCTTGCCAGTGAGACAACAATAAAGGCTTTAGAAAACTCCTTCTGAAAGGTCCAGAGGTCTATAGAAATACAAGAAGAATATTTAATAAATCTTACTGGTTGTGGACAATCCATCTTCTCGCACGAGAGAAATCCAAAACACGATGTTAAATTATAAAATATATCAATGTTGTTGTCGTT